CCGGGCAGTATAAAAAAATTTTAACACACTTCCTCTGAGTTCTTGTTTAACGATCTCTACGGTCAGTGTATTAAGATGAATCAAGTAAACCTCATTTAATACGTTTTCCTTGACATTCAAGAACAGCAATGGGGCTTTTTCCCAGGCGCTCGATGTGGGTGATGACCGCGTGGTGGCGCACAAACGGAATCACACAGCTGCTGCTTCCAAATCTCCTATTGTTCTAGTTATTGCTGCATTTGACAGCTACAACAATGTACAAATTGCACATATAATATAGGACAGGCGTGTGGTTGCCGTAAATCGTTGAGATATCTTCAATTTCTTTGTTTTATGAGCAATTCGTCCTACTTAGCCGTCGCGATCAATAGTTTTCGTATTTCATCGTCGACAAGGGAACAACACCGTATTCTTGGTTGTATCTCTATTCATCTTCCACTGATCAGAGGATGAAATTTATACGAAAATAATTTTAAATTCGTGTTTCAATGACTTCATGACTTCATCAAGCTGACATTATCGATATACAGTTCCTGTAGAGACAAACAATTGTTCAAATCCTGTGTGGGAGGACGAGGACTGCCGCTGATCTGGTGTAACATCGCCAAGGTCACACCAGCGGCAGCCACATGGAACAACACGCAAGTCGTCCAGTTAGAAAAATACAGCGAATAACACAGCAAAACCTTTGATATATATATATATATATATGTGTGTGTGTGTGTGTGTGAAATACACGAAAGCGCTTGGGAACTTCGTGTTTTCTTCTTTCCTTGTGGTTATCAGCATATACCTGGATCACGCGCACCCACAGTGATTTACTTGCATATATATATATATATATATATATATATATATATATATATATATATATATATATATATATATATATATTTGAGACCTCTATCATGTTACTTAATTTAAGCAGCTAGGTGCCAGCCTTAGGACACCACGGCAAATTCCACTGATGCTGAAGTATACCAACACTTTTTTTTCACAACATTTAATGTTAGTGTTGAAGGTAACTCATTGCGAGTTTACAGAGCGTGTCTTTGACATACCCGAGCACTCCACACTTAACACGGCGCTGTACACATTTACCCAATTGCTCCAAAAATTTACCCTATCGCTCCACACACCTACCCTGATGCTCCACACACCTACCCTGATGCTCCACACACCTTCCCTGATGCTCTACACACCTACCCTGACGCTCCACACCTACCTTGGCACTGCTCCACACAAAAAAACAGCTAACTCATAAATCACCAGATATGAGAACACGTGTAAAAGTTACTTCATACTTCTACTATATGAATCTAATCAGATGAGACTTTTGGAAGACCTGACATGGTGGTATACCAAACCGTAAAAGAATCCTCATTTACACTGTTGTCACCACATGTGTTGTCCGTTTATCAATACATCGAAGTACATGATCTGTATTCTCATGTTGAAAAACGTTTAGGAGTTTGGTGGTTGTGGCGAGCTATTTCTCAGTTTTCTTGGCGATGTGATTTGCGATTAACAGCAGACATATCTTTCGTAGACGGGTAGTTAAGCGTAGAACGAGTTCTGGCATTAGAGGATATAAATATATTATTTCTTCCTTAGAGATTAATAGGCCAGACTATAGCAACTTAATCTACAGTATTTATGGGCAAGGGAGAGTGAGCTACTTTCCACCACAGAAAGGAACGCTCTCCTATAGGTACTCAAGAAGAAAAAATAAATTCACCACCCAGAGTTCAGCGTAAGGTAAACTATCCGTTATACGTTAAATTATCTAAACCCGTCTGACCAAACCTGAAAGATCCGAAGTGTTCTCAGAGGTTTGTTATTTTTTTGCCCAGCTGGAGATGTGAAAACGCATTTAATTGACTAATTGTAGTTACGGCGTAAAGTTGATAATTTAAATGGCGACGCAATTTGCACTTTAATTCTTGTTATCTCAGTCAGCCAAAACATAAATAAATATTCCAGATCTTGGGCTGTATTGAAAGGTAAATGTTGAAAAATTCACCTGGGGTACATGTTCTTGTTCCTCCTGCAGAAAACATCTCACCCCCCGCCGTGAACCCTATGACCCAGTGACGTCACTACCACTCCCCGACACACACACACACACACACTTCCGGCTACAGAGAGATCAGCTACACTCTCATTGGTCCAATTTTTGACACCTTTGCCCAATAATTGATTTGTCCAATTTTTGACACAGCAAGGAAATACAACTTGACCTAACCAAGCCTATTGATCGTGGGGTAAGCTTAGCTGGACTGGTTAAATACGTGGTGGTTCATTTGTATCTATACCAAACCACAGTACGCTCAGATGACACCCACTCTTCCACGGTCTCCGGTGACCATGTGTTCCAGTGTTTGTGCCACCTGGGCGTTAAAGGAAAACATTCTTAGGTTAATATCGCGGGACTGACTACCACTGTGACGCAAGAAACAATACCGTATGGGCCTGTCTGGCACCTTGGTGCACTAGGGGCCTAAACCACGCCTACGTTTTGTGTAATTAATTATGAACAGGAGTTGTCTTAAGACTTAGAGGAAAACTTTGAGATTGGGTAGTAAAGAAATTCCCTGCGCAGTCAGATGACTGTGTGTGTTGGAAATAAGACAGTTTAGCGCGGGTAGTGTAAATGTGCAGTTATAGGAAAACTAGTAGCATTATACAGTTAAAAGTTCTAACTCAGATTTTAATTGTTGTTAGGCTGGTATAATTAATAACCTTGTCAAGCGCTTAAAGATCTTAGTTGTTGAAGCACAGTAATAACATTATAACAGCAACATAGTAGCATGGAAGCGGAGGTGTCCTGAACCAAAAGCGAAGCAGCTAATCACAAATACATGTGTAAATCTATCCATACCGTACATGACTGAATTGTGCGGGTAGCGGCCTGGGTACTAGCTCTTTTATGAATGTCAAACAGTGTTGTACTGTGCATTACTTATCGGACAAATAGAACGGACAAGATATTCTACCTTAACCCTTCCAATCACCTTTTCTCTAATGTTAAAATATAACTAACCTTAAAAAGTCCCCCTTAAACTGACCAAAATTACCATATTAGCTACTCAATGTTTCATATTTACTACAAAGTAAAAGATGCTCAGGTTACTGACACTGAATTAGTTTATTCATAACTTTGTTTTGCCGTTTTGTTGACTTTTAAAATGTTCTTACTGAATGTGTTTTATTACACGTTGACTGAGTTTTGACATTATCACTAACTGTGTCATTCTCGCGTTGCTTGGATTTACCCGTCTCAAAGAAAAAGTTTGATAGCTCTTAAATTCAGCATTCTCGAGTTGCTTTATCAATCTCGCAATACTTAATTTAATCATTATGGTGCTCGTGTTGTTTTACTAATTCAAAAGATGACTAAGTTTTACCTTGGTCACGTTTACCATATCTATCACACGGAGAACATACAGTATGAGCCTTTGGGACTCGGGAGGACTACCTGTGCTGGGTCGATGTTTGGTTCACGTGCGGAACGAAACTCAATGATTTTCGCTCACCGTCACTCACTTCCATAACACTCCCTCCCGACTCTAAGTGGGTAATGTAATTTTACAATAAGGTATTTTATTATCTAAATGGAATAATATATTAATCATCGGCATAATTATTTCAAAATAGAACACATCTCTGTTAAGTATTTGAGTTAAACAAACTGAGGAAGCAGAGTACTGGTATGAGAAGTCGCAGAGCGCTGTGATTGGTCGGTCTGTGGGAGGGTAACATCGCCTGACCCGCGAGGACCAATCACCGTCGGACTTCTACATCGATCCAGGAGTCGCAAGGTTGCCGAAGAGTATTCCAGCCGTATTCGGTGTGACGATTGTTGCACTTAATAGTCTACAATGGTTGAAAGTTTATTTTACATGTTTAAACAACAATATTCTTGTCAAATACTTGTGAATTCGACAAAATTGTGGTAAGGTTCATATTACTTTACAAAAGGCCTTGTGCAGTAAATGAACAAAGAGTCCATAATTTTCATTGGACTATGATTCCATCGGTTGCTAAATACTAACTCAATTCTTGCTTATTCATGTCATATAATTTTACAGTAATGGTACGGAAAAAATCACTACCATTTGTAATTGTGAGTTTTTGTCCGACAATAAATTATAAAATAAATCAAATGGTGTAATTTTTCAATGTTCTCTGTTAAAGCTACGATAAAAAGTTTTCTTAAATTAACATTAACAGCGGTCTACATGTAATTATATGATGTATGTGACAAGGAAATTCAACCTTAAACTTCCCTCTCTGACTTAGGGTCAACATCGTGACAGAAACTTTTTTTAAACTCTAAATTTCATTTTTTCTCTTCGTTACTTTATTTTATTATCAATGAAAAATTATATTATTACAATAAACGGAACTGAAAAACCTTATGGTGAAGCTTGAAGGATGACGTCACAGAGCATTACCCAGCTGTCACGTAGCCGTAGGAGCGGCAGATCGATGTGACCTACACCAGTGGTGGGTGTTCATATCACATAGATAACATGCTTTCATATATCTGTAGAACTCCCAACCATTTGTGCTATGTTGGGTTGGGTTAATCGGGTAGCGTAAATTATCAGGTTTGAAAGCACGAAAATATAGTGATGAAATATTACAATAGGTTTGATGACGTTTACAGCTTACATTACTCTCCTTTTATCAGCCATATATTTTAATATAGCTTAACGAGGAAGGACGACCTTGATTGTCTATGGTTTCTATGTAAGAGGCAAACTTTCTAACTTGAATTTTTAAAGTTGCACACGTTGTCGAATTAATTGGTTTTAGTCCGTTCTATGTTGACAAGCTAAGCTGACGTATACAATATAACATACAACTCTTCACAAAAATAAAGAAAAAGGAATATGTCAAAGCTCCTGAGTTCGATACTGCTGGATGTATATATCAGTGACATGGTCAACATGCAGGTGTCACAGAGAAGTTGTAAACCTACAGACTATACTTACCGGTATCTACTTCGCTCATCCTGTTGATAATCAGCTTACAGTTTAGGAAGGAATTTCCCGGCACACACACGCAAACAGCACTGAACTAAGATCTAGTAAAAACCATTAACCACTCATACATTAGCAATCGAGCACAAGAGGCAGACACGAGTTAAAATAAGGAGAGAGGCACAGTAACACCACCGTCACAAATGACACACCATGTGTTACTGAAGGTGGAGTATGGCGCTCTCGGTCTCAGCTACCACGCTCACACCATCACCCCGCACGCGCACTAAATCCTGACAGCCTAGCTCTTTTTATCACTAGATTTTAGTGAAGTACCCAAGAATAGGATATATGCGTTATTTTCTCTTTCCTTCCAGCGAGAAAACTTTATATACTTTATTTTAGTTTTTTACTTGAACGATCTGAAAAAGGCATGAGGGAGATATTTGCTGTACACGTTAGGATACTTGACAACTCAAACAAGTAAGGGTGGGACAGAGTGCTGCCGACACACGCTCCGAGGGTGAGGCAAGGGAAGGGTTAAGGAGAGTCCCTCAGCCTTTCATGACTGGAAAATGTTAATGTGGTTCAGGACGTTTTCAAAAAATTCACTGTTGTAACGAATAGCCGGGATTGGAAAATAAAACTGACTTTGAGACGCCGTTTTCGTTAATCAGATTCCGTTAGCACTCATATATATATCTCGTATATATAATATATATAATGCTGGATGACTGATTCACTGTGGTGCTTCAGGGACTACTCCCCCACCATTGAAGGAGACCCTTTCAGTGATGGACTGACGGTTAATTTAGAATTATCAATTACGTTATTCACGAGAAGAGAACATCCGCGTGTGAACCACTGCTTACAAGAGGAGTGTGGGAATTTACCAAGGGCGTGAATTAATGGGTTGAAATATGTGGTAGGTCAATTGAAAAGTGGTGTCAGAAAAGAGGTTCATCAATATTTGAGGAACGTAAATTTAGAAAGGCGTCAATACCTATGTGTCTCCCTCCACCCCTACTGTACCTGCCCCACCACACCATATCACCTCCACCTCCCCCACTGTACTTCGCCACGCCTAGTACATTGGCATCCCTTAGCCTAGCCGCACTGTTTGTAAACTTTGTGGTCAACCGACTCTTGTTTTTTTTTCCCATTTATGGGCACCCCCCTTCATCCTTGTGTAAGGTGAAGCGCAGAAGCGTTTACAGCGCCCAACAGGCTCACACCCTCTCTCACCACATCCTCATTTGCCCTATGACCTCCTCCTACAGGTCCCAGCCGTTACCAACACCTCTCCCCTCCCTGACCAGATATCCCTCCTCCTAGTGACAGGCCTGGCACTTGACATTATATAATTGATAGGGATCACCACAAAGGATAGAGGCCAGCGACCCTTTGATCCATGGTGCCAAGGTATGACTTTGTGCAGTACAACTCAAAATCCCCCCCCCCCCAAATAGGGCAATTTTGGTGCCTATTGCTGTTTGCAGTTTATTAGTGACAACAAGCGAAAATCACTTCGAATTACATAGGTATTTGCCAGGTACATGTACTGTACAATATCAACTGTCATGTTTTTTTCTTCAGAAAAATGTGTGATCGATTTCGGTAATGTCATTCACATACCCCATCTCGATAATTAATATGCCTCATTATACAGTAAATGTTTACTTGTTGCCACTAAACGAAATCGAAGCTGAAATTGTTTTTCCGATGGTGAGCTTCATTTCTGGTGTAAATCAATAGTTTCGGATATAAGCCTCCCCCGCCTCGGAAAAACAGTTTCGAATCTAATCTAACCTAACAGGGAGGGGGTCTCCACAGCCTTTTGATGTTTGGGGTGTGTACCGGTACGTCATATATTTTGAGTGTGTGCCGCCACGTACGGACGCGTACAAACATACAAAATAAAATTTTAAATATCTCACTTATATGTAATTAGCGGCAGTCGTCAGAAATGCCATTGAAGAAAAGTGTCTTAGAATTGTAAAAATTACTGACCTGCAACAATAAAATTTCAGAGATTCGTTTAGTGGCAACAAGTGAAATAATACCCATGAGACTGCCACCATCCTAGAAGTTTGTTGTGGTAATCCTTGATTTACAGTATAAAAGTCAAGGTAACCATGTGGGAGAGTTAGTTGAACAGACATAACAATGAGTAGTGATTGGCTAAAAGTAGTCGATGGGTAGAGGCAATGAGGTGGAGGCCAAGGATAGAAGGAAACTGAACTCCCCTTAAAACCTATTTCTCTCTTAGAGGCCTCCAATTGGCTCGCAATATATGAAGATTGCGACATAATAAAGAACGTTTTGGTATTACGTGGATAACTATTTAAAAACGTTTCGTCAAAAGCACTTTTGTTTTTATTCATATTCGTAATCTAATTATGATTCATATTTAAATACTTTAATTACATTTTTAACTTCCATTTGCAACCCACTAATTAGGGTTAAATTAAAGTATGTAATGTTCACATTTTTATTATATACAGTTCTCATATCCGAGGGTTGGTGACCACAGTCCTCCACTTTAAACATTCTCGAGCTGTTTTTACTAAACCCCCAAGGCTTAATTATCTCTGGGGGCCCAGGTTTAATTTCATTCATCTACCCTAGTCTGTGCCTTCCCCCGGCTGCTGCCTTTCAGCAACCTTTTTCTCAGATTGAAGTTAGTGTCTCTTTTCATTAGGTTTTTTAGATTATTGAATGCTGTTTTTACTTGCCCTATTCTTGTTTTTATATCACTTGTTTAGGTTCCCGGTTGCCTACCATAATTTATATTTTAGGATTGATTTCCAATTTGGAAACCAAGCATTACTTTCGCCTTTACAGCATTAACTCCTAAACCATATTTTTCACCCCTTTCCATTAATCTGCTAACCTTTTTTGTAATGCCTCCTCACTATCTGTGATAAGATCAGTATCATCTGCTTAACGTATAATAATATTTTATATTACTTTACCATTAACTTGAGTACGACAATTTAACCATAACGAGTCTGGTGATGATGATGTTGATCGCATTGATGATGCCGATGATAATCTTGACAGTAATAACATGGATGATTGGATGATGCTGATGATGATAATGGTCATACAAATGAGAATCAATAGGGATGATAATAATATTAGTGACATAATAATAATAATAATATTAATAATAATAATAATAATAATAATAATAATAATATTAATATAATCACTTATAATACTAAGGATAATAATACAGTAGTAATACTGTATTGACAGTAACGTACATAATCTTAGTAATGCTTAATGACTATGATAATTATTATAAATATTGCTATTACCGACAATCAAAGGTAAACTACAGCTTCAAACTGCCATCCAGCAGTCAAGTTTGATTAATTACACTAGTAAACTAAGAAACGCCCACATTTTGTCTTTGAACACCGTTTATGAATTAAGTTTCACGTGATTGACTTTATTCTGTCTAAAATATTAATCCACACAGACAGATGTGAGGAGTCTGTTGGTAGTTTTGGTTTAATCGTGTCACAACACGTCTTCGAAAGCGTGGACTTTCGAAATAAAAAAATAATTTAAAATATTTTTACATGTGTTTATGTTTATTACAAATTAAAAAAAAATGTTTGATTTTAATAAAAAATAAAAAGGAATAAACAATATAAACAAATCTGGATATTTTTGTCGCCAGTTAGTTGATTGACACCACTGAGACATTGTGGCGTAAGATTTTCTGGGGTTCATTCAGGAACAGACTGATCTATTTTCGGTACATCACACTCAATCATCCAAAAAACGAGCCATTATATGAACTAAAATATTGACAGATACAATAAAAATTCTCTAAAGCTACGTGTGTGGAGAAACGAAGGAATAAAACGTCACCAACACACTTATAGCACTGGACAACGTTTAACCGGTTCGCTCAAATCTTGAATCAGTCTCATTTTGCGGTTTCGTACGTATGAGAAAGTCAACAGAGGCAGCAGTGTTGCCAACTCCTCGAGGCTCTTCAGTACTACAGGGTATTAAACTCCCTTACATTCCCTTCTTACCCTACGCCTTGGGCTCAGAAATATTAATAAATAAATATATATATATATATATATATATATATATATATATATATATATATATATATATATATATATATATATATATATATATATATATATAAATCACTGTAGGTGCGCGTGATCTAGGTATATGCTGATAACCACAAGGAAAGAAGAAAACACGAAGTTCCCAAGCGCTTTCATGTAATTCACATCTTCTACTGCTTTCTTGCAAGTTTTGTAGTGAGAAAGGCATTCCGTAATTTTGCACCCATCTTATTTTTTTTTGTCTCAGTAAATATTGAAAAACTTTCGGTTTCAGCAATTGTGTGGAGTAAGGCACGTACCAGTTTGGTTAAGAATGACAAGTTTTTGAAAACTAGTTCATCTTCAACATTTCTTACCTCAGATAAAAAAAAAAAAAAACTCAGTATCTGTTTTCTTTTTAATTCTACCATTTCATCTCCATTAAAGTAAGGGGGGAAATTTAGTTTTCCTTTTAACTGAGAAATTTCTAGTTTTCCTTCCATCGAGAAATTTGAATTTATGGCCAGCGAAAAATGCATGATTGGTTACTGATACTGATTACCCTACGTTTTGCCCTATTTTAGTAAAATTACCTTAGGCCTTACAGGCCAACAAAATAAACTGAATTACCCTACGCATAAGGTAATTATCGTTCGGTTGGCAACAGTGATTAGACAGCCAATGAGCAGTGATGCCGTCCATCACAGGCGGCCCATGTGTCTCTCTGCCTTAGTGCCGGTAAGGAAGTACAGTACACGGAAGAAAGAAAAAAAAGGGTAAAGCGACTTAAATTGGAGTTCTGCAAAGTATCGACAAGTGTAGTAAAGTGCTTGTAAGTGTCATAAAGTTTTTGCAGTCACTGTGCTTATAAGTGTCGTAAAGTAGTTATGTCCCAAAGTGGTCTTAAGTATCAAAAAGTGCTTTAAGTGCCGTGAAGTTTTCATAAGTATTGTGAAGTGATCACATGTATCACAATGTGTTCGTAAGTAACGTAAAGTGTTTGTGTTAAGTTTTGTGTCATGAACTTACAGTAAGTGTCACAAAGTAATTGGGTGCGGTAAAGACACCCATACGTGTAAAGAGTACCGTAAAGTGTCACGTTATTTAACAAAGATTCATGTAAT